CTTTAGGTCGGGTAACTTAAAGTCAAATCCTTGGTTTCATGCCTTTGGTGAAGACTTGGCATATACATTTATTTACTCACCTGGTCCCAAGAGATTTTACTGAGCGTATACCCAGAGGATGAATTAAGGTGTATGGCAACATTTTGGAAATGTGTTCACAAAAGAAAACCTGTGATCTCTTCCTGACAGATCTCTGGCCCTGTTCAGGCCCGTGGGTGTGTTTGTGAAGGTGGGAGAGGCTTGCTGGTCGGAGTCTTTGGATACAAGGATTATTTGGCCCTGGTTTCAATGGATTCATGGCTCTCAGGGTGACCTGGGCAGGGTGGCCAGATGCTGATGGTCACTCATAGTACTTGTTTCAAGAGTTAGCTTTCACACATAGGTTCTTTGGGAGGACTCAAACCCTTCCTAAAAGATAAAACAGTTATTTCCTCTTTCCCATGTCCTGGCAAGTCTATCATGCCATGTCATCACTGACAGAGTAGCATTAGACGTATTGCCCCCAGTGTGCCCCTGCAAGTCCCCTTCTACCCTCCCCCTCTTCCTTATCCCCCATCCACTTAACAAAGGTTGCTCAGGCAAAATAAAGTCGCTGTCCTTCTGGAACATACTGATTTACTACTGATTGTGGTAATGGGGACCAGGAAGTAAGCAAACTTGTTGCGGCTCAAAAGCTCTTGCTGGAGATGTGAAGCCCTAGAGTGCCAGCTCATCCTTGTCCACTTTGTTATGACTTTGTGCTGACTTTGTTTTTTCAAGGGACATGGTGACATTCTCCCTGCCCCTGGTGGATCCCATTTGCAAAGCAGAATCGTGAGGAAGAACCTTAATGGTGTAACGCTTTCCAGACAGACGGGGGAACTCTTTCTACCCCCTGTTCTTGGGAACCACTGAACAGAGAGGCTGGGCTTTAAACTGGGATTCACACCTACTTGGTGTACATTTAAATGCTTCATTGAGAACTGATTAAAAGGCCATGGCTTCCCAAAGGTAGCAGAAGCCTAGGAAGTGGAAGTGGTGATTTCAGACTGCAGCTCTGAATGTACACGGGGTGCGGTTAGAAAGCGTTGCACCACTAGACATATGGTGAATCCCTGTTATCTAGCTCATTGGCCTGGATCCATTTGTAACACCATCTGGTGTTAATCCCTCACTCCAAATAAGGCTCAGAATATAGTTTGGATATCACTTCACTCACCACATTTATCAGGCTATGTGTGGATTAGTTCAAAACATGAAGCCAATATCCATTAAGCCACTCTAGGAAACTATGGAGGGGTGGAGTGTATGGCCAGAGGTTAACAATGGATGCATTCATATTAACCTGTCTTAGGGGAGTGACTGTATCGCCATGGTTTTTGGAAAGATCATATTCCCAAGAGATGCAGACTTCAGTGCTTGGAACTTTACATGCAGAAGGTTGAAAACTGCTTGTAAGGAATTGAGTGGAACAAAACACAAAGAATCACTTTTAGGATAATTAAAACTATTTTGGATTTTTTATTTATCAATCTGGTTTCTAATATAATTTTAGTTAAATGAAAGACATTCACAAAGAATATTAGGCATACATACATAGTTTCCTTCTTTCATTCTAATTTACATGCTGTTGCTTTTAGAGTGTGAGCTTCTGTGTTATATCACAGGGATGGAATCCTAACCGATTTTACAGAAAAAATATTTAGCTCAGCTGTTCACAACTCAAAACTCTGCAGTCACCATGCTCACTGGAAAAATTAAAACCCAACAAAACAAAACTTAGAATCAGTAACACTTAGAACGGTTTCTTGGCCTGCTTGAGAGGAATCTCCATGTTTTCACAGCCATCTCAGAATCCAGAGTTGCTGTAAATAAACTGAGACTTGGAAGTGGTGTAGACCGTCTAAGTAGGCCTCTTCTTAAAGCATGTTTTCATCTGGAAAATCAACTTGTGAATGCATGTTGGATGTTGTTAATAGCTGTGTGCCCGGGTATCTTACCTTCTGCCGGTCTTTGCTCCAAGGGAGATAACCAGCCTTTTAACATGATTTCCCTATTTCACTGACAATGAGTTTTACCTACCCTTTATATCCAAAAAAAATACTGCTGTGAAAGAAATCTACTCTAAAGTTTCCAAGATTGTCAGGCAGGGTATGTGTAGTGTAGGCATGGAGCCACCAGGCTGTGCGAAAAAGTCACATTTGTGTTTCGTGTTGTCTTATTTATAAGCCAGTTGAGTCACACCAGGGTCTGGGTGAGCTGTAAGTCATACCCAGGCGGGAGTTTAGGGCTTAATGCACATGAAGTTCCGTTTCTCTTGTCTTTGGCTGCATTCCATCTCCCAGTGTTAACCGGTCAGCGCCCTGGCCATCTACCTGATTAATAACTTGGCAGGGGTACAGCAATGCCCCGTGAGCCTCCACCTTCCTGGACACGGCCTCATTGGTTCTTCCGATGTGACTTATAACCACAAGCCGGAGACTGAGTCTTCCAACAAGCTCCACTGACTTTGCCTTTATATTTGGGTTTCAAAATATTCTGCAGTCAAGAATCAATGGCACCTCACAACTGTCTTACGAAGTGTGTAAAACAGCTATCTTAAATACGGGGTGAAGAGGGACAGAGATTCAGAGACTGGACCAAGGTCATATAGGCAGTCCCTAGGAGAGGGCAAGGGTTAGGACTCTATTAGCCGATTCTTGGGTCCACTCTCAGTAAAACATTCTTTAAAAAATGACACCCATTAGTTTTTAGCCCGAATCAGCTAGACATGCTGTTTGTTTCTTATTTATTTTAGGATCAGATGGTTCTGTTGGGATCAGCAATTTAGGACCTATTTTTGGCTGGCTAACTGGAGTTCAATTTAATAACGACTGCCTTTCTTTTTGAAAGCTGCTTGACAGAATAGTGAAAGGGGAAAAAAATAGTAAGAGGTTGAAATCAGGTGCTAATTGTTTGGAGGCATGAGATGGGAACAGACTATTAAAATGTTGACACCAGGAGAAAAAGGAGGGGGATAAAAAGAATAGGTGGAAGGTCAGAAAAGAGCAGACCTGTTACAGAGAGAAAAGCTGCTCTCTAGGTGACACTGACACTACATTTTCATGCCCAGTTGCCTGCTTTATCCTCGGGCGCTTTCTGTGGCTGTGTCTCTGCCCAGCTGGCGTCTGGTGACTGCTGTGCAGATGTTCAGAGACATTTGGGTCTACCCTTTGGCTTATGCCACTTCTTTTTCCTGTGTTTCTGAATTCCTGGTCCTGTTAGTGAAGGGTGCCTGTTTATCCAATGCAGGCAACAGGACATTTTTCAACAGAAGCTGCACTTGTTTCTAGCTCAATTAAACCTTCCGCGTAACAAGCTCTTTTCTGAGCACTTAGTGGAAAGTCACAAGGGTAAATGTAGCCTTAAATATTAGGAAGGGCTGGAGAAGAACTTAACAAAATGTAACCGCTTACCTCCTGAGCTTGCTTTCTTAAGCTCTAGGGGATGTTATTTTGAGAGCTTGGGATGGCACTGATTTTGCATCCATTCAAAGTTACCACTCCTAGCTTCCTACAACATAGCTGCTTACTTTATACACAGAGGATATTTCCTGTGCAAAGAACCCTTAATCAGCCACCAGCTTTTTCCGAAACTTTAAAACAGCCTCTTTTTTCTAAAAATTTTTCACTCTTGCTTTGTCTGTTCTTATGATTTAGAGAGACTATCATTCTTGCACTCGATTGATAATGTGTTGGGATGTAAGATGTCTGGGCTTTGCAGGACATGATCCACGAAGCAAGATTAGGCGCTGAGTGTGGGTCACACGGCCTTGGCTATCTAGGCAGAGTTGCCCTAAGCTCTCAAGAGAGGGAACTGGAAAAAAGAGGTGCTACCTTCTCTTTACCTAAACAAATGATTTACCATTTAGACCATACTGAGTATGGCCTTCATGAACAAGACGTAGGGACTTTGGTGAAGACCACAATTTCCAAGGAGAAGCCAAGATTTCCAGCACTCATTTGGCACTTAGCTTAGTTATTTAATACCTTATCCACCTGTTGGTGTCTGGTCTGCTGGCCAGACTGTGACCCCTGCAGGGCAGAGACTGCCACACCTCTGTGTGTCTAATCTGATGGTGATGCGTGAGACCCGCTGATTCGTGCTGTCACTCCACTGTCCCAGATTTGAACATGAACATCTGGTGAGAGAATGCTGGGTTTGATTTTTCACCTTTTGTGGCAGGAAAGAGGAAAGAAGAGAGAGACATGAAAGGGTGAAAACAATTTAGCCTCAGGGGCTCTGTCTGATGGTTTTAATCCCCCAATCATTTTGGGGAAAAAAAAGGGAAGTTGCTGAGACAATGCATCAAGAATAAAGCATCGGAAATGTAAGTGATGATACATTTCCATCTGGCATTATTTGTTCAGTGCAAAAGTAGTACCTGTATAATAGGTTTTAGAAAGTCAGAAACATTTCTAAACATTATGTTTGAAGTTGGTGTTTTCAATTTGGCAATATGTGAAAGAACTTAATTGTAGTCATCTTGGTCACATCTTGGCCTTCGTTTTCAATGTCATTAGAAAATGTTAACATTGCTCTGATGTTTAGTCACATTAAATACTTTTCATATTAAATGTATTTTATGGAAGGACCAACACCTTAAAAGGTGTTCATGACGATGCCTGAGGTCACCTACTGTGAAAGGGGCATGAGGATTCCCTATGTCTGTTACCTTGACTCGAATGGGAATTAACTGGCCAGAGTCATCTTCGGAACGTGTCACGTACTGGTGTAATGTGCCATTGGTGCCTCTAGATAATATTTCCATTACCCAAGAAATTGAAATCCTTCAATAAGTTAGGCATACTGAGAATCTTGAAAAGTATGTATGTATAATCTCAACAAATGACAGTTCTCATTTTAATGAGTCAGGCTATCAGAAAAATAGCATTAATATTGCTACACCTCATCTTACCTTCTCCAGGAGGAGAGGGTAAAAAGTGATCATGTTTAATTTCTCAAAATGTTGGAGTCTAAAGAATATTTAAGTATAAGAGCCCAAACTATAGTGATCATATATGGTAGTCATTCTAGAAATAGCTTTTGTGCAGTTGAAAAAAAAAATAAATGAATGAAATAAATTTTTGGATGCTGCAGCATTTGCTTGCCCCATTTGTTTACACAGAAAGTCTATTATTTTAAAATAAAATCAACGAGCTATTTGTTGGAAAAAGTTGGTTGAGGTTCCAGATTAAACTGAGGTGTGACTGACTAGACTAATTCTCTGAGAAGCAACATCAGTTACTGGACTTGTGATGGGCCTGGAGGTCAAGCGTATCTGTCATAGAAGCTCCTTGAGTCACGGTAGGGTGTCCATTTCGGGCACAGCGATACATGGAGCATGTGACTTAAAATATGGCAGTGTTTTCCATACGATTCCAGAGTAATAGCAATAATAATAGTGATCGTAACTTGACTTTGTTGTGTGTATCCATTCAGAGGACACTGTCTGCTAAGATTTTGTGGCAGAGGTTTAAAAGCTAGACCCAGTGAGCTGTTCACACACATGTAATGCAACCCAATATATTGTAGGTAAAGCAGAGGAAAAATCTTTTGTAACAGCTGGTCACCACCTTGTGGTAGCTCATAGTTACAGATATTGAATAGGTCTAAACTACACATATGAAACAGTATTATCTTGTAGAATCTCATGAAAAGTAAGCCGATAATCCCAATATGAAATGACCTACCCTGGTTCTTAATGCTTCTCTCCTTTGTGCTGATTACATTATTACACAAGAGCCAGACACCCTTCCACTGCTTCGGGTGGGGATGCTCAGACAACTGGCACAGGTCTCTTTGAAAACTGACAAATAATAGGCTCTCCTTGTCTCTTTCTTTCCTTTTCCAATTTACAGGACACCAAAAGAAATATTATGTGAACACGAACTAGTTACTACAATAGCTCATTAAAAGTTGACTATATGGAAAAGGAAGAGAATGCTGGAGGCATATGTGCATCAGCTTTTCTCAAGAAAAAATATCCACATTCTAAGGGCGCTTAAAAACGTAGAAAACTTGCCCTGTTACCATGGGTTTTTAGAACACCTCTAAACACACACAAAATAAGACAGATATTACCTACAAATTTCAACCATTGCTTAGACTCTAAAAGCATTTTTTGTATTATTTTGTTTTGATACAGAAGGGGAAACTCAGCTATAAAGAAATATTAAAAAGTATTTTTTTTGTGTGGCAATCAGTCTCAAGAGTTTTCTGTTGCTTGCCTCCCCCAACTTGTGCTGATATTTTAAGGATGTGCTCAAGAGTATGAAGTCGGGTGTTTTTGTCCCTTTCCCTCCTCCCTAATAGTCCCCCCTCCCTCTCCCAGATCCAAATAGCCACCCTTCAAATGAGCCATTCCTTTTTGCTTTCGTCAATGGTCTCTGTGAAGTTGGGGTCGTTGTTCATGATGGCAGCATCCGCACTCTCGGCTGATTCTGCCCCCTTTGCTTCGTTGGTGTGGTAGGTGCCCTTGTGACGGAACATGTACCGAATGAGGAAGACCAAGGTGCAGAGGATGGTGAAGATCACCACAGCGATGACCCCTGGTGGACACAGAGGCACCAGAGGTTAAACGAAGCTTACAAATCCCTCCCAGACTATTTTCCCTGCTCCTCCACGGCTCCTTCAATTGTCCCCTCTCTCAGGTAAAACACAAAACTCCAAAACAACAATGACAAAAACAGACAGAACTGAAGGGGGAATTAAACCAATTCACGGTTATTTGTGGAGATTCAACACCCCTCTCAGTAACTGATGGAACAATTAAACAGAATGTCAGTAAGAATTTAGAAACTTCAAAAACAATATTAACAAACTTGACCTAAGGAACTGATACCAAATCTATGTCTTTCTTAGAACAGAAGAGCAGAAAATACTACTCCACTAATTTTATGAGGCCAGCATTATCCTGATACTAAAACCAAATGCATTACAAGTGTAGAAAACTATGGAACTAAATTCCTCCTTAACAAAATTTAAGCAAATCAAACCCAGCAATATGTAAAAAAGAACATATTATGACAAAGTGATGCTAATTTAGGAATGCAAGATAGGTTTAATGTTAAAAAATAAAATTTTTTTATGACATTGTAATTTATGGCATCAAGCAGATCAAGGAGAAAAAAATATGACAAACTTCAACACCCATTCATCATAAAGCCTCCCAGGGAACTCAGTAGAAGGAACTTTCTCAGTCTGATAAAGGACATCTATGAGTTTATCCTACTTAACAGTGAAAGACTGAACACATTCCCCCTAAAATATGGAACAATACAATAATGTCAGCCTAACATATTTATTCATATTTATACAGGAAGTCCCAGCCAGTGCAATAAAACAAGAAAAAGAAATAAAAGGAGTACAGATTGGGAAGAAGTAAAAATTCTTGTTATTCTCATGACATGATTATAGAAAATTGTAAGGAATATAAAAAAAAGTTGTTAGAACTAACAGTAAATATAGCAAGGTCGCAGGATATGAAGTCAATATATAAAACTCAATTATATTTTTAAATACTAGCAAGAAACACTTGAAAAATGAAAATAATAAAATACCATTTATATTAGAACAACTTGAACACAGTTGCTCAAGACTGCACTGAAAATCATAAAACCTTACTAAGTAAAATTAAAGAAGACCTAAATGAGTGGATAGATAGACTGTGTAAAGACTGAAGTACTCAATAATGTTAAGATGTTCGTTTATAGATCTAACGCAATCCCAAGGAAAATCACAGAAACTTTTTTTGGTAGAAATTTATAGGCTGATTCTACATTTTATATGGCAATGCAAAGGACTCAGAATAGCCAAAATAATTTTGAAAAACAAAAAAGAAATAATTGGAAAAATTATATTGCTTATTTCAAGACTTGCTATAAAGATACAACAATAAAGCACTCATGGTTTGGCTAAGGAAAGAATAGAGTTCAGAAAATAGACATACACATATATGATCTATTGATTTTTGACAAAAGTGTCAAGGAAATTAAATAGGGAAAAATATAGTCTTCAACAAGTGGTCTTAGAATAACTAGATATTTATTTGGAAAATAATGACTTTGACCTTTATCTCATACTATATATGAACATCAACTCAAAGTGATAGTAATAAAAACGAAAGCTATAAAACTTCTGGAAGAAAACAGGAGAAAAATCTTCACAACCTTGGAGTAGACAGATTTTTTTAGATAGGATTTTTAAAAAAATCACACACTATAAAAATATTTGAAAAATTGGACTTTTTATTAAAATTAAAATCTCCTGCTTTTCAAAGCAGGCCACTAAGAAAATGAAAAGGCAAGTCACAAACTTGGAGAAAATATTCACAATATATGTGTTTGACAAAGACTTTTATCTAGAATATAAAAAGAACTCTTACAACTCAACAGCAAGAAATCAAACAATCCGGTTAAAAGATAGGGAAAGATTTTAAAATAGACACTTCACAGAAGATTTACAAATGGCAATAAGCACACGAAAGGATGCTCAATTTCACTAGTCATCAGATAACTGTACATTAAAACCACTATGAGGTATCACTATTCATCCACTAGAGTGGCTAAAATCAAGAAGATTGACAATACCAAGTGCTGATGAGATTGTGGAGCCACTTGACGTCTCTGATATTGAATATGGGAATGTAAAACAGAAAACTGTACGGCAATTTCTTATACAGTTAAATATTCACTTTCTAGACCTCCCAGTAATTTCATTCCTAAGAATTACCAAAGAGAAATAAAAACTTTTGTTCACCTAGGACTTGGACAGGAAGATTCCTAGCAGCATTATTTGAAATAGCCCAAATCTGGAAACAAACCAAATGTCTATCAACAGGGGAGGAGATAAAAACAAATTACAGTACACTCACACAATGCAACACAACCTGGCGATGAAAATAAACAGACTATTGATACATGCAACAATGTGGATAGATCTCAGAAACAATGTGGGAGAAGTAAGGCACAAGAGATTACATGTTGCATGATTCCACTTACATGAAAACTCTGAAAAAAGCAAAAGCAATCTATGAGAGAAAAGCAAATCAGAGGCTGCCCTGATTGGAGTGGGGTTGGGGGAAGGGTGGACTACAAAGAGGCACCAAGAGCTTTTTGTGGATAGAAATGTTCTATATGGAAATATTCTATATCTTGATGGCCGTGGTGGTTATGTTTGTCTAAAATCTTTGCTCTGTTAACACTTAAATAAGCACACATTACACTTCAATAAACCCGATCTTAAAAGCAAGAAACAAGAGCATAGGGATCTTGATGCGATTACTCCAGACCTTTGGACAAATGTGATTTAAGCAGCATTCTGGATGTATTTTAATTTTATAGTCATACACATTTCTTATAGGTGTCTACATTCTTCAGGCAGAAAAGAAACGTGGTGGGCTAAGACAAGTTATTTAACTATTTAGCCGAGTTTAAGATGCTTCATATGTTTATAATAGTCACTATACTCAGAGAGGCAGGAAACAGCTTTGTGAATTAGACATTAGAAGCAGGGAGAGAAGGCAACGGGCAGATGGATCCCTCCTCATCTCCCACGAGGGGCTGCACCGGGGGGTCAGACGATCGTGCAGCAGTCCGCCGTGAGCAGACAAGACTGCAGTGTTTCAGGTATTCTGGCTTATTCATTTTCTGATCATTTTTATTAAGGTAACTGAAACCAGACTGGCACAGTCTTTCCCATTTTGGTAGTAAGTGATCCTGGACCATTTGGGATGTGGGAGATGAGAGTGGAAAAGAGAGAGGGGATGAAGAATTGTTCAGAAGGATTAAAGGCTATTGCCA